CCTGACCCTCAGATGTTGAAGGGAGGAGAAAGCTGCAGGAAGCATGCAGTGAAAGACTTGAGTCAGGAGGGGGAAGAACAGACAAAACAAGAGCTGCTGATGTCCAGAGAACATATTTTCAACCTCTACGGTGGTGTTCTTCTATTTCACTGTCACTCCCCCACTTTTCCTCAGCTCTTCTTCGTAGCCACTTCTCTGTTTTCATTCTTTCCTTCTCTCTGAAGCTATTTTATTTCTACCATGGTAATTTTTTTCTTGTTCTTTAAACCTCAAGCCTCTAGAATGCCATTTGCTGCAATTGTGTTCCACAGCTTGTCTGTGTGATATAACTGTGTGATATTCCACCATACACACACCCACACATTAGAGGACTTTTTCTTTCATAAGCTTTTACACTAACACAAGGGGCACCCTATCAAGGATGGTTAGATCAGAGTGGAAACAAGAATGAAAAGTGAAAAAATGGCTCATTCATGTCCTTTACGTGTCAGAAATGATGTATCTGCATCACCAGTCCCATTGGCATGTAAAATATCTGATTTCTGTGATTCAATGTTTTCTGTGGATTTTTTTCTGTATCACAATATGCTCTCTTCTCACTTGCTAAAATTGTTACAGCATGAACAAAGTTTACAAATACAAGCACCTGAAATTTAACAAAAACAAACCCCCCCCCAAAAAGGAGTATAAACTTTTTCAAAGTTCCTGACCATCTGCTTGGATTTGAGGGGCGATTGCTATGAACTTCTGGAGATTATTATCCTTAATCGCCCTAAAAGATATGTTGACATCATGCACACAAAAAGGTATCTGAGGTGATAATATGCTTCAGAGAAGCTTTTTCTGAAAAGTACCATTAGATGGGTAGTAAATGGACTGGAACAAGTCATTTGAACAAGTAATTTTTATTTAATTCAATCTTCTTTCTTGAGAAAGAGAAATATCTGCAAGAAATTTGAAGTCTGCTTCTGCCTGGGTTCTGAGGGAGTCCTTTTTATTTCTTCCCTTTTTATTTGTGGGAACATTCTTCATTATATTTTCACCGTCTGGTCAGGAGATACCAGAGTAGGCTCTTTTTGAGGGCATCATGTTCTGTTTGTGTTACACCAAGATATTGCTTTTGGCAGGCTGTTTATTCATTTTCTCCTCTTTCTTTGTTTTCTATCCCTATGCAGTATGTCTTGACAATTCTCTTGACTCTATGTTCTGAGCCATTTATTTTCCTCTTCCCTTGCTTTGTCCTTTCTTACCCTTTACTCTATTCCCCCTCAGTCTCTCTTTTGTCTTGTGTCTCCTCTGTTGCTCTGACTTGTGACTCTTTGCCATGAAAAGTAACTTCACTCATTTTTTTTCTTTTCCTTCTGTTTGGAGAAGACTTGGAAGCTGTGAACATCCTTTCTGGAACGCCTTATTTTGTTCATGTCCTTGGCCAATTTTTTATCCAGTGTTCTAGTGTATGTTCTGAGCCATTTATTTTCCTCTTCCCCTTGCTTGTCCTTTCTTACCCTTTTTCTTTGTTTTCTATCCCTATGCAGTATGTCTTGACAATTCTCTTGACTCTATGTTCTGAGCCATTTATTTTCCTCTTCCCTTGCTTTGTCCTTTCTTACCCTTTACTCTATTCCCCCTCAGTCTCTCTTTTGTCTTGTGTCTCCTCTGTTGCTCTGACTTGTGACTCTTTGCCATGAAAAGTAACTTCAATCATTTGTTTTCTTTTCCTTCTGTTTGTAGAAGACTTGGAAGCTGTGAACATCCTTTCTGGAACCCCTTATTTTACTCATGTCCTTGGCCAATTTTTTATCCGGTGTTCTAGTGTACCAGTGCTTAGGAGTTTTTTATGCTTCTTGCATAATAATAACTGGTTTTCTCTCCAAAAATACTGTGCATTTCCAGTAGCTCCAAGCCTTCATACCTTGTAGACCTTCTTTTTATGCCTTCAATGATTGACTCCATTCTTGTTCTCTTCTTCATGTGTTTTCTCTATTCTTCTTCCACTGGTTAATTTTCACATGTGGAGTTTGGGTCTTGATGCCAGCTTTTCTGAGGAAATAGGAAAGAGGGAGAGAAAAGCATCATAGGCCAGATATCCTAGAGATGGCGTAGGAAAGAGCTTATGGAGAGCAGAATCTCTTCCATGAAGCTTGCAGGATTAAGGACCCAGTATAATGGAGAGCAGAATCTCTTCCATGAAGCTTGTAGGATTAGATGGTAGATAAGTATTTTTTCACAATAAAGTAGGTGGGAAATGTCAACTGGCTCACTGCATCCTTTCCAAAATGTGTTAACATATAAGCAAGCTTGTAATTTTTATTTATATATAACGCTTACTAGACAGTATAAGTGTAATACAATGCTCTTCTGGCTTTATTGCACTCTATCCTAAAGCAGTTTTAGTGACTGACTTCAATACAGATATGTCATAGATAGTGTGAAACAAGGTTGCTGTGGTGGTATGGTTTCATTTGGTATTTCATGGAATCACCTGAACTATATATCAGTGTAATTAAAATGTTACCTGGGACTTGTGTATATATTAATGTATTTCATAGCATGTCTGTCTGCAAGACTTTACAAATCTCGTAAAACATTTTAGCTAACATTCTCATTATCTCAAAAAAATCTCCATTGCCCTCATTTGGATGAGCTTAAGGGAAATCAAGCAAAATAGTTTCTAATTTGTCAATCATTCTAGTTTAGTATGTTCCACACAGGCTCTTTTTGGTTGGCTGTGAAGTATTCCCATGCTATAGTTATCCATGTCCCAAAATATCGTGATATCCTGGAGAAGATCTTTTTCTATGACTGGGGCAGATTGAGAAGATCCCTTTGAGATTAATTAAGACAAATTTAAAATAGCTCAGAGGTTTATGGAAGTCCTTAAAATAAAGTCTTCCTGAAGCAGCCTGTACCATTTAAGGTTACTGACACAAGGATGTACAATATATTTAAAGCAAATTCCAGACATTAATTACAGAGGCGAAAAGTCAACAAATGCTAAATGGCATAATTCTGTTATAGTATAAAGGTTTCTCCAGAAAAAAAAATATACATAAAATTATATTGAATATAAAGGCAGCATTTCAGAATCTCAACCAAAATTTTTAAAGAGCAGTAAAATCCTCACTTAGTTCTATCAGACAATAATTATCACTAAAGGCTTATTTTATTGCTTGGAGTGAATTGTGTCTTAACTTTTTTGTTATTCTCCGTTTTCATTCGGTTTTCTTGATTATATAAGGATATAGTTTTGTATAGCACTTAAGAGGGCTTTCCATTTCTGGTGAAGATAAGGGTTTGATATTTATGCAATCAAAGTTCACTGTAGGATGGGGCTCTGAGACAGGGTGCATCTGATTTCTACGACTCACTCAGAGATGTCAGGTAAGGTGAAATGTAATCAATTTAGCATTTACTACTGCAGGGCAATCTGTGTCACCACCTCTGATATGCAATGGTATGATCTTCAAAAATATATTTTGTCTAACACAGTGTACCTTTCATGCAATATTACTGAGCTGATCAATCAAATGGCGAGAGATATCTAATAAAAATGCTTATAATTCAAGATAATAACATTCTAGCCATTTTAAGGAAGATATATTTGGTGAACAGTAGTTCCACAGTGCTCAAATTCAGGATGTGCTCTGTATATTTATTAAACTATTTAACACTTCCAAACAGAGGAAGGCTTTATAGGGTAAAAACATCACCTGACTTTTACCATAAAATATTCTGAATGTTACTGTGTGTTTAAAAAAAACACCCCTCTGTTCTTTATAGCTAAAACAAATTAACAGAAGTAACTAGAAATAAGTACATAGAATTGAAGCCTTTTAAGTGTTTTTATTCCTTACACAACTTGTGATTATTTGCTATTGGTTGCTTTTAGAAGAGACAGAATAGCTTTATTTACAAGCAGAGGTTAAAAACATAAAGCTGCTAACATCTGCTCTGATGAAAATGACAGTGATTGCTTACAAACTAAAAATATTAAGATATTTGAGAAACATTTGAAACCATGCCTAGTATGGCATTCAGTGTATGTTAATTTTGCAACTGTGTTCATCAAATATTCTAATTCACTTTTAAATGCACTGAGGTTTCTTTAATCTTAAAAGTGAATGTTTGTTAACAGGATCTGACACAGGAAGGGGGAGAGGAGAGTTCATATAGGTTTAGGGTATAGCTGTAGTAAAAATGCAGTAAAGGCTAGCTTTTTATTTGAGCTTTTATAGCTTCTGCCATAAATATTGGCGTAAATGACACATATTGTAGAGCTATGGCATATGTTGCTTTTGAAAGAAAGACATTTTCACTTATTCAGTGAGTTGAGGCCTCATGTTACTCCCTGTGGACCATGTCATACCCCTTCCCAACCTCTCAGGACCCATGACTTATCCAGACCAAACATCTGCTTTTCCATTCAGTGCAATTATTCAGTGTGCTGCTGGGGGCAGATGGTTGTTAATCGACAGATCATTAACGTGGCAGGCCACTCTCTCTTTCTAGCCTTAGAGAGGTCACAAGGTGTTAAGTTCCCTTGCTCCAGGCTGGTAAGATGCATATCTTTTGATTCAGTTGGATTTTGGAGGTGGAACGGCAATTGAATTACTTGATACAATTATGGAGGAGCTTTTAATCAAACATTTTTTCCTTAAAAAACACGTTGCTTTTACAATGTAAGAGTGATGCAATCAAGAAATGGGTTTAGTGTCAATTACACTGTAGCTGTCAGAAAGTTTGAATGCTGAAAGGTGGTGAGTATGAATCCTAATCAGATAGCAGCGAGGATGCTCAGCTGCTCCTCTAACGCCCTCTCCAGCTATATGTGTCAATTTTCTGCTGAATTTAATTTAGCCCTAATGATGAAGAAATCTCTCTATTCACACGGTCCTGTCAAGTCAAACTTTGGACAGTCTAAATGAAGCAGACGAGGGCTTCGGGGAGAAGTGGCAGAGTGACATGCTGAAGAGATTTCACTTTCTTTTCCGTTCCCACAGGTTATATTGAGGAAGCCTGTATTATTCCCTGTCCCTCAGACTGCAAGCTCAGTGAGTGGTCCAACTGGTCTCGTTGTAGTAAATCCTGTGGCAGTGGGGTAAAAGTTCGCTCTAAATGGCTCCGTGAAAAACCCTACAATGGGGGAAGACCTTGTCCAAAGCTAGATCATGTCAATCAGGTAATTTGATTTATATTTACATTGTTGATGTAGCTTTTTCCTCCCTTTTAGCTGTATTGTTTGTTAACGTAGAAAAACTATACAACATAAGGGGCAGATGCAGGTAGAAGGAGAATTATGTGACGACTTAGATTTCCTCAGTCATCATAGGATCTGCCTTCATTACTTCCTCATCTGCAAGAACTTAGCCCATTACCTGAACTGCAGACAATAAAACACATTTCTGAAGATCTTCTCTTACAATGGGTAAAATGTTTTAAACTGGCGAGATTCTTAGTTTCATTCCCCGACCATCTCAGATCACAAAGCAAATTAAAACACACAATATCATGTCAGTGTCCCTTAGTGGGTTTTAGTCAAGCTGGAGCTTGACCTTCCAGTTAGGAATGCACCTCTGAAGTTGATCTCACAGTTGTCCCACTAACAGCACTTGATTTTCCAGTACGGAGCAGTCTGGCTGCACAGTCTGGATCCTCTTGAAGTGAAACTAAGAGAAAAAGTGACCCAAGAGCACACTGGGAGTACTTTGACCACTGATGAACATTTAATCTTTGGAACCAAGTTTAGCACAGTCCAAGTCAAACCCCCGGAGCTTGTTTCCTCTCGTTTGCTTGGAGGGTTTTAGAAAGAAAAACCTTCCTTGTCAATTAACTTATGCTCTTCAGAGTTGATTTATATTCATATTACTGTTGAATTTAATTTAGTCTGCAGAGGCATGTTAAACAGCCACATGGTCTTCTCTGTAAATATTCAAAGATTGAAAAAAATGTGCTGTCAATTTACATTTGAATAAAAATGCATGTACTTAATATTATCCTATTGACATTTTGCTAGCACACAGTGAAATGGCTTGTTGATCTAATTTTCTACTTTAGGGAATGTAATTAGTTCTAATTTAGAAAATAATAAGTGTTAAACTGCAGCTAATAAACTAAGTTTGTGATCTACTTTAACAAAACACAAACTAGAATGGGGGTTGCTGGATTTGGGTCAGCATGTAAATACGCTTTAAATTAGGAGGAATGCGTTTCAATAGGAACAAATTATAGTCTATACAGAAGTCTTTTTCCTTCTTTAATATTCATGTAGTACATAATAGGCTCGTATTTTTCTGCATCAAAGGTGATTTTGCTGGAGGTCTGTTTGCCAGTTATATGCAACACCATTGCCCTCTACTGGTAGTTGGAATCGAATTTGATTTGTTGCAATATTATTTGGTATTTGCCAAATGATAGTTGATTCAAAATGTAATTATTGTAAAAATAAAATTGAAATTTAGTACTTTCATGAAAAGGGGGCTTTACAAATAAGATGGGAATGTTGAATAATATAGAGGCTGTGTCTTTAAATTTTGAATACATTTGCTGTTGATTCAGAATCATGCAGGGAATAAACCTGCATTCTAATTTTGAGTTAATTATTTAATCTAAATGTGATCTGCCACTCATTCAGCTGGAAAACTACTGACTTTTCAGAATATTTATTTCAATTATTAAATGTAATTTGTTTTATTTATGCATTTATTACTTAAATATGTAACATGCTTATTTGCATACATATAAAGCATAATGGTTAGACTGGGTCTTTGATGCCCACGGGTATGTGGAAGGTGATGTACAGAGGGGCTGTGCTGTAAGCTGAGATCTAGGAATTATGGACTTTGAGGAAACACTGCAATCTGTAGCCAGTAGAAGAGAAAATGAGAGGGAGGATGCTGGAAGTCTGCTCGCATGTACATAAAAGGCTGTTGCAAAGGAGGAGGAAATAATCCATTTTCCATGGCCATCGTGGGTAGGATAAAAAAGCAGTAGGCTTAGGCTGCTGCAAGCAGATTGGAGCTAAGCCTTGGGAAAATTTTCTATTGGTAAAGCTAGTGAAACATTGAAAGAAAGTGCTTAAGACATCTGTCAAGTTTTAAGATTAAGTCAATGTCTCTCAGGGCTGACACGTCTGACTGTGTTTTGGAGGGGGACTGAACACAGTGAATGCCAGGTGTCCCATTGAGCATCATCCCCAATGGGCCAAGCACACCAAGGAGACTCCCAAACCATGCTCCAACTGAAGGAAGCCTCTTCAGTACTCACTTCACTAGGCCAAAAGTCTTCATAATCAACAATAATAATAGAGTCAGGTTTATTATAAAGTCACGTCAATGGCCTTCAGAGGATTTCAAAGGAAGCAGCCAGTCTGAGACTGTCAGAGAAAATAAGGACATCCCTCTATTCATTGGCTCCAGGCATTATTTTCCCCCTTATCCAGCAGGTGGGTGTGCAATCCTTATGCCACCCAAATGCCATGGCCTGCAGTTAGAGTTACAAAAATGTTATTTTCTTCCAAGGGCAAACTTCTTGTAAAAATGCCTCATGACAGCAAGGGAAATGCAAGAGGACAAACTGGATGCCTTTTGCTTGGCAGAAGTCATACAATATTGTTTGTAATAAAAGTTAATTTAATGCTATTTAAATAACTATGCTTCACTCTAATTATTCTTTCTTTTTTTTCATTGGTTGTTCCTTTTGATTCATGAAAATACTTTCTTCAGGCTCAGGTAAGAGTTTATAAAATAGAGATATAACCTTAACATGTGCTTCCTGATTATGCTCCAATGTTTACGTATTCTGTCCTTTTTTTTGTATGTATGTTTGAAAACATATATGGAACAGTGTATAAGGTGCTAGAAAAGATATTATCTCAAATCTGCATTCAAATCTAAACATAATACTAACACTGGGACATGAATATATTAAAGTGATTTTAAGTATTTGCAATGAAAATAAAACAAACCAGTATATATAGGTATGATTTTCCTTGAGCTCACCTCTCTTCAGAAATACAAAGACCCCACAACTAGTAACAGTGGGATGGAATGGTTGAGGAGAGATGTGAAGGCTAGAAGTAAAGTTTTAGCAGATTTTTAGCAGCATTTTTCTAAAAAGCATACTTGTGAGCTAGCCCAGTTACAGATTTTATGCTAGTTGTGTTGATGTTGTTGGTGGAAATGGCATGGCGTGGGCTTAGTGGCAGAGAAAACCAGGGAGTCTGTCATTAGATGTCTTAGCTTCTGACTTTTTGTTACTTCTATAGTTTTCTATCAAGTGTTTTGTCTATATTATAATAAAAAACCGACACTCCATGTGGATTCCAGGTTTATGAGGTAGTTCCCTGCCACAGTGACTGCAGCCAGTACGTGTGGGTCACTGAGCCCTGGAGCGTCTGCAAGGTGACCAACGTGGACTTAAAAGTGAACTGTGGGGAAGGTGTTCAAACGAGGAAAGTCAGGTAAAACAATATTGCTCCTCCTTCACTTCAGAGAACCTTCACTTTCAGGCACAGCTCTGTTTAATTTGATGTGAGAGCAGACTCACACAGAGTACTAATTTCACAAAGCAAATATATGCTCATGCTGTATCTCTTGTGTTTACCTCAGAAAATTAGTTTAGTCTGATAACGTAAGACTTTTTTGAGAAAATAATGTGGTCTAATGAAGGACATTCAGAATATTTCCATGAGTGTGAAAGGCTTCATATTGATATGAGCTTTTCTCTTGCAATTCTGGAAAACAAACTCAAGCCTCTTAATTTGAATGATCCTAGTCATGTAGTAGTTGGTCTTCTGTTGACAGGTGGAAGGGGTAAGTTAGCAACAGATTCCATAGCACTGGAAATATTGTGGAATGAAGACTGTAATCTTCAGATCTGCATATTAATTTCTCATTTTAACTGGGCCTCCAGCTGCTAACTTAATATAATGGTAATTTAAAAGCGTCTGTGTAAATTAGGGATTAATACTGAGAATATAAAATTTTAAAAGTTCTAATATTTCTACATTTAAAATTATCAGTTGACACATGCACAAAATATCTTGAAAGGATGGCTGATTCACATTATTCTGGTTTACTGGTAAGCTAACATCAAATTAATCACCTGCCCAGAAACTCTCAGAAAATCACTGATAGGGAATGTCTAAATTCTGTGTATTTCATTATATGGTTGTCATCTGTAAAGGCCAGGATTATTTTTGGCTCTTCATCTTTTCCTGGATAGGTCAATACTTAGTTGTGTTGCTTCAATTACTTTGTGATTGTTATTTGCTGACAAAATGTTGAAATGCTTTGGAATACTGTGGAACGCAGCTGCTTTACAAAATCCACGGCAAATGCAGTTTATGTGCAGTTGTTTTTTTTCAGGTGTATGTTGAACACCGTGGATGGTCCTTCTGACACTGTAGAAGACTATCTGTGTGATCCTGAAGAAATGCCACTTGGTGCTAGAAAATGCACCTTACCCTGTCCCGAGGACTGTGTGATGTCTGAGTGGGGATCGTGGTCACGATGTTCCTTGGTAAGAAGTACACTAAAGTGTAACATTGATCATTTTAGGAGCATACTCTGAAAATGTATATATGGCATATTGTACAAAGATGCTGAGCCGTGGTTACACACGTAAACATCTATATTTACTGTCGTCTTTGGGGTCATTGATAGTTGGTTGCAAATAAAGGATGCCAGTATTATCCATTGAGTGAAATTGCTCCAAAACACAAAATATAGTCATCAGTGGTCAATCTTCAGTGTGGGGTGGCTTCTGTGTGGTGGAATAGTTTTGGCAGTGGTTTGTGAGTCCATCCCTGAGCCTAGGTGTGAGCCTGTCCATAGCAGTGCTGTCGCTGCACTAAAAATGTCACTGTCTTGTAAAGACCAAAGTCTGCAGATCAAGACTGAGCACAAAAAGATATTTGTGGGTCTCCTCTCCCCTTCCCGCCAGCAATTTCAAAATGAAATGTCAAGAAAAGCAAACCACAGATAAAGAAAGTGTCTCAGGACCTCTGAGTATTTTGGGTCTGGTGCACCACAGCGTGGAATTTGGAAAGCGAGCATCTGAATATCCAGTTTATGAATGAAATGGTTAGAAAGTGCTACTACTGAAATATGAACTAGTTAGGAAAGTACCGAGGTTTTACTAAGTTAGAGGATGTTTCATTTTCAGTGGTACCAAGGTCAAACAACAGACTAAATTCTCTCTGAAGCAGCAAGGAAATGGTGAGCCTGTTCTTTTACATTTGTGTTCTGTGAGGAGGTTACTTGTCCGGGTGTTGTAATGTTGCGTGGAAAGGCATCAGGATGCTGAAATATCAAAGCTGTCTCCCATCTCCCTTTCAAGCCATGCAATGGAAGCAGTGTCCGTGAGAGGTCTGCTGAGTCCCTCAGACAACCTGATGATGGAAAGTCCTGTCCTGCTGCCACCGAGACAGAAGCCTGCACCTTGAACAAAAACTGCTACCACTATGACTACAATGTGACAGGTATTTGTGGTGCTATGATCTGGTGATATCTTGTGATGACAGCTTAGTTCCATTTGCCTTATAGGACTGATTTTTCAGCTTTCTGTTCCTACATGGAGGGAGCTGAAGAGCTTGTACTGAAAACTGGTCCAGGCTATTTGATCCAGATAAAATCTTACTGGAGATTTTGTGACTTGGGTGTAGTGTGCATGCTATAACTCCAGAAAATGTATTTCTATGACAATTTTCTGATTTGCTCAAAATCCATGCAAATGAGACCGAATATGAACTTTTCAGGAAGTCATTGTAGCACTGCCTATTTGCAGGAACAGTGATTGTTTCCAAAAAACGAGTAGCAGCTGGGTTCCACGAGCCTCTGCACACGTAAGAACTGTTTGTGAAGATTATTTCAGGCCATCAGAATTAGAACGAGGTGGGAGATTGGGTCGTTATGAGTCTTATCGAGAATATGTGCTAAGCTAATGAGTTCCTGGTTTCCAGACTGGAGCACGTGTCAGCTCAGCGAGAAGGCTGTGTGTGGTAACGGTATCAAAACACGGATGCTCGACTGCGTTCGCAGCGACGGCAAATCGGTTGACCTGAAGTACTGCGAGGAGGTGAGTGGGGACCTGTGAGTCTAACGATGCTAATTAATGCCCAGCCAGCTGAGCTGCGTGGCATGTAAATCATCTTCGCCAGATGTTTTGCACCATCACTCATGGATTGTTAAGTACCTCTGAAACAACCTGTGCCATCAACAGTGACTTTTATACAATTTCATTTGGTTACTTTTAAGTGTCGCCGCGAATGTGCTAATTATTACGTCCGGAAGGAAATGGCTTAGAAACAATAATTAATAAAGTAGAATAAAGGTAATAAATCTTAATCACAACACTAATCATCATTATAATTTGATACAATTCCTGCACGGAGCCTTGGACAGCTGCCAGTATCTATCATTTACTCAATGTGTTGGAAAATGTTTCTCACGTGCCGTTCTGCAGCTGGGCTGAACGCTAACTTCTTCTCTCCAGCTGTGCAATGCAGAGGGTACCCAAGCTAGTGTAAAGAAAACGTGCAGCACGAACAAAATATTAAATAGAAGCATCTATGGAGAGCCTACCAGCAGATGGGAACCCTTAAATTTTGCAAATGTTGAAACTAACTTAAAATTTGAAAGCAGTGGTTTTCTGGCCATTTTGTGTGTTGCTCTTAATGTTTTCAATTGAACGGAGAGAGGAATTTGAAGGAAAATGCAAAGACAGCACAAGTGTTGCATTAAGGGCGATCCTGCGTGTATTTTTGATGGAAAGGAACTGAATTTGTTTCAGCTGCCATTCCCCCACCACCTCGACATCAGAAACAAAACCACTTGCAAGGTGGGACTAAGGTGGAGTGGCCTCCACAGCAGCTTTGGTACCAACACCTTTTCTGTTGGACCTTCCTGGCTAGTAGCTGCTCTGCAGGATGTGCCCATGGAGAAGAGTCTCGTCAGAAGTGGAGGGAGTCAGGAAACCACCATGTACCCTGGACTATAGTTTTGTAATGGTGTATCAGACCTACTAAGGCTTCTCCAACTACCTCCAGCATCTTGGATTCCTGAATCTGTAAGCTCTTAGCAAAGGCAGGAGGTTTCATCTGAAGCCGGCACCCGACTTTTGTCCCAAGTTCCTCTTTCACCCCTCTTGGGTTTATAATCAAATATAATAATTTGATCTTTTATGTCTCAGAAAAGGAAGTAATGGATCTGGCTACCTACCAGCAAGTTTCTCTGACATTAATAGGGGAATTCATTAATTCATTCTGTTAATGTTTTAATGACTTAAAAGAAAAAAAAAATTGTCTCGGGTTATTTGTAAGAGACTGCAATATTGATTAATTCATACCAAGACATGATATAAAATATCCGTCCACGTGAATATTTAAATAGAAAAAAAAAATGCTTTATTAGATTTTAAGGGGAAATATATTTCTTTTAACATAAAGCAAAGAAATTATTCCTGTTGTTAACCAAATATTTTGAGCAACATTTAGAACAAATGATTACATTTTACTCTGAAATCTCATGGCAGAAAACCACTGGAGCTTTCCTGCATTTAGGAAATGAAAGTTTATTACTCAGAGAAATAATTAGGGCAACAAGATAATATCTCAAAAGCTGACTGGCCAACAGACATCACTGCAGTGGGGTCTTGCCTTTATCAGCAGCCACTGCGATACAGTCTTATTTGCTTTTTTGATTTGCTAGACCATACAGAGGTACATCTTCCTGTAGAAAGCCCTGATCCACTCCCCAGTTGTACCGTTAAGGCTATTTCTTGAATTATGGATGTGTAAGCAGTGGTACAACAAGGTCAAAGGCTGATCCAATAACTGTGAGGAGTAAACCTGTTAACCTGATTAACGAGAAAGCCGAGCTGTTCAGATCTTACCAGACCCTTCACTCTAAAAACGTGAAAGCCAACCCTGTGACTTTCCAGGTCATGAGAGGAGAGTATTCAAGAAATTATCAAATATGAATGCACACTATGCATTTCTTACTAATGTAATCAAAGATGATCCTTCAGGGTGGGGTTTTTTGCTGTGTTTTTGCATTAGAACAGAAAGATTAAGAGACTAAGTAAAATTCAAAATAAGGTGCATGTGGTTAGAAAAGTTAATGGTAAGAGAAAGATTAAATAATTTTGTAGTGACTTAGCTAAGGGAATGTCCCCTGGGCTATCATAAAACCTTATACTAGGTGAATGAATAAAGCAAAAATTCTATTTAATTTTTGTGTAGATAAGTTTACAGAATTATGATTCTCATATGCAAAGAAGAGAGAACAGAATAGTTGAACCTATCCTGATCCCTAAGAAAAGAACATGTCTAGTTGCAATGTCTGACTTCCTATCTATAAAATGTGGTTCAAGAAACTAATAAAAGCCATATATAAAAATACCCTTCATGCTGTCTTTTGACCGTCACCATCTCCATGTATGACCATCAGCATAGTTAAATGCTAACATTTCTTCCAAGCCCCTGTGCTTTGTTTTCCTAATGTGTCCGTATGATCTTGTGCTTGTTTCAGTCAATCAGCTAAAGAAGCTAGCCAGTCATCCTGATTACTGCCAGGATAAATCAATTTCTGGAGCTTATTTCCAAGTCCTCGTTATGTTAACATAGTTCCCTTCAAACTCTGAAGGCACAGTAATACTGGATTACTTGGTCTCTAACTCTACAAAATTAGCACATCACAAGAACTTGGATTGTTTTTTCCTTGAGTATTTTAAAATCAAATCACCTAAAGCAAGCTGCTCCTGGTCACATTCATATTTATGGACTTATTCATTTGCCTTCAATTGAAGATCAGAAAAGCCTAGAAACTAGCAGTTTTGTCTACATTAGAAAGCAAACTTTTTTTCTGTTTCATTGGCAAATAGTCTGCTTGTCAGATTACATGATTAACCTCCAGCAGAGGTTAATCTGTGGTGCCAAACATTCCTATAGACAAATAGAGATACTTTTTGTGGATCACAGTGTTTATAGAACGTGCTGGTCTGGCCACCTGCTGCCCCTGGCATGTGTGACCAGAAGTTCCAGCGCGACTCCTCTAGTACTTGCCATTCTTGAACCAGAAACCATCACTCATCCAGAACAGAGGTTCTTTCAGGTAGGGAATCCCAGAATTACAGAATGATACGGGGTTGGAAGGGACCTCTGGAGATCATCCAGTCCACCCCACTGCCAAAGCAGGTCCACCCAGAGCATGTTGCACAGGAACATGTCCAGGCGGGTTTTGAAGGAAGCTACTGATCACTTTCCCAAATGTTTTCTAAGCTTTTCAAGGTGAATTTTGGTTCATCAGCTGAGGGAAGGAGAGGGATGAGAAAAGAAAATGTGATTAAGATCAAATTGCAGCCTGCCAATTGTTCCCCAAATCTATTTCAGCAACGCCTCAGTACTTAGGATGTTCAAATGGCACATCACTGTGGGTAATCTGGCCTTTGACTTTTTCCTCCTCACCTGTAATATCTCTCTTGGGTTTTTCCTTCTCTAGCTGCCAAAGTCCAGCTGAGAAGACCAGTCTTGAAAGAAAGCAATTCTGTTTCTATAATTGGCAGGAATCTATACAGAAAGCTTTAAAGCCTTCGCTCAGAAGATTTGCCCCAAATACTGACTTCAGAGATGGTTCTCTGGTTTCCTAATTATCCAAATTCCAGATTATCCAAAGGTTTCAGGTGTTTCCTGTGTGTGATAGCTGGATAATCAAGGTTATACTGTACCACAGAGAACTCTTTCTTTGATGTATAAAACAGAACAGAGGCTTAAAACCTCATTTGTCTCAGTAAATGGTACTGCAAATGCAAATTTAAGACTTGGTGAGTCTATCAGGGTGAGACTTTTTCAGTACTTGTGGTAGTTTATTTATGAAGGACATGTTAATGTTGTGCCTAATTATTGCTCTATGCTCGCATTTAGTAGGAAATAATGTTTTTATTTCCTTTTTCAAGCCTTAACTGCTGCCTTTATGTCATTAACCTTTCCAGTCATTAAAATTAATAGGTTTTGAAATGTCTAGTTTGCTTTTTTTTTTTTTAAAAAACTATTGGGGGATTTTTATCTACTTAAAGATATCCACAGCCTCCTGGGACTCTGAAAGGCCTCAATGATGACCAAGGTTCACTGGTGAGGGCCAATGAAGAGGAGAGTCATTTATGCTGGGAAGCTGCAGATCTGTTCATATTGGCAGGATTGATTTTCTTTCATGTTTTATATCATACATGCTATAATCGACTTATCCTTATAGCTCATTCTGTAGCCATACAGGCTGCAGGGATTATTATTGTCATGCTAATATTTATGCCATCAATTGTGTTCCATTTCTCATCATATATTCTCGTGTATGTTAGTGAAAATAGCTCTTTTCTTCCTTGGATGGGGAAAATCTGGAGCATGGGATGTTATAAGAACATAGAAATGACTTTACAGGATCGGACCAAAGGACCATGTAGCCACTGTGCTGTCTCCAAGCGTGGCCATAAAATTCTTCCTTCCAGGTGGAGGTTCCACCATTTGTTAGTGTTAGGCAGACTGTTGTCTGAAGAAGAGCTCAGTACAGAATGTATTTTTGGGAAAACGTGGGACTCTGGCTATTTTCTGTGTCACCTTCTCTCATCCTCCTCCGGCATCTGCAGCTTTCACTTCTTTATTTTTAAATGTTCTAATTGCTTTCCTTTTATTTAGCAATGACTTCGTGCTTGCTTAAAGCTTTAGTTGCCTCAGGTTCACCATGTCCAAATGCATACCCTGCACTGATGACACACACTGACAATACCTGCTGACCATTGAATATTTTCTTTTAGCTTGGTTTGGAGAAGACCTGGCAAATGAATATGTCCTGTGTGGTGGAATGTCCTGTGAACTGTCAGCTCTCGGACTGGTCCCCTTGGTCTGAGTGCTCTCAAACATGTGGCCTTACAGGTCAGTATAAACCTTTAGTATATTTTAAAGATTGAGCTTTTTTTTTTTTTTTTTGCTTTTTTTTTAAAGAAAAGCAATAATAACTCTTTTCACAGAACTAGTAAATGTAAGTGTAAGTGAGACCGTCCTCACTGAAGATAAGGAGAATTTAGCCCAGAATAGTTTCAGACTCTGGGAACAGTGATATAAACTCTTTTCACAGAACTAGTAAATGTAAGTAGCTAGGCAGAGTGATGGGGATCTAAATCAGCTTATTCATGGAAATAGTATGCTTCAGTGAGACCGTCCTCACTGAAGATAAGGAGAATTTAGCCCAGAATAGTTTCAGACTCTGGGAACAGTGATATATAATGAATGATATATTGAGAAAAAAAAAAAACACAACCCACTGATGTGAATATTTTTTTAATGATAACAGGTAATAATTTGATATTGCAGTATCTAATAATGATTCCGTTCTTGACATTACCTCCCAAAGCATGACTTCTACATTCAAATAATCTGCACTTCTATGTTCAAAATAACCTTTATAGAGTGAGAATTGAACTAATGTCTCCATTAAAGGCTTAAATATGGTGCCAGATTTTCCTGTACATGCTTCTGTTTATATACAAGACCTGAACAATCAACCTGGTATTTTTCAGAATGAGAATTACTGTTGCTGTGTTTTTTCAAAATATGAAGGTGGGTCACTGAAATTCCTGTGTGTTCCAAGTATAGAATTTTTTTGTAGAAGTGAGAAACATAATTTTAAATAGTAACATAAAACAGCTTTCAAATTTTCAGTGTTTTTAACAGATTATGGCAACTTCACATGCAAATCTTGAAGCTGTAACTTTCCTGTTAGGTAGGAAGTTGGAAGCAACTGCTGTTTTCAATAAGTAACCATCTAATAAACCCGGTTACCACAAAGTTGAATCACTCTTGTGAGCCCATCCAAATACTCATAAAGTTGAGGAGGAATTCCGCATACAAGAATTCAGCTCGTTGCCGTTCTTTGGGGGTTTTTCTCCAGTACTTTTCAAGAAAGTCTTTTTTTTTTCTTTTTTCTTTTTTTTTTTTTTTTTTTTTTTTTTTTTTTTTTTTTTTTTAAAAAAAAAAAAAAAAAAAAAAAAAAAAAAAAAAGTTCTAGGAAAAATATTAAACCC